ATGCTTTGTCAGTTGTCATTCAAACTTGGTACATAGATTATACATGTTAGGATACATGTCCATGACGATTTATTTTGCAATTGGATCAAAGATTATCGACTGGTAGGCATCTTGTTTTTTTTTTATGCGGCATCTTGGACGTGCGTCAGTTTTCATTCAAATTTGGCACATACATGTACTTTATACATGTTAGGATGCATGTCCATGATAATTTGTTTCAAAATCAGGTCAAGGATGGCCGATTGCCAGCCATCTGACTTTTTGGCCTTACTACTTTATTTCCACAATTTATGTACCAATTTCAAACGTATTTGGCACATACATCATACATATCAGTGTGTTTCATAATCAGATCAAAGATGGCCGAATAATGGCTGTTTTTATTTTGGCCACATTACTACTACACGGAACACGTGTTTTGATGTAAATAAACAATCTGTTGTATACGCCACTTGGAATTCAAGTTTCAAGGACACTCTCGCGACAACCCCTTCGCTTTAATGTGACGAGCTCAAAGAGAACTTTCAAAAATTTAACGGGGACTGTGTCATTTTCAATGACTTGTTCTTGAATATTTTTTTTTTTTTTGCAGGAAGAGGAAAAGTCTCGAATTATTCATGTGAAACGCCCTCCACAAATGGGTGTTCCTTTCACCGTTCAGACTGAGCATAGACATATTGATGTTGTACCCTTTTCCTTTGAGGAAAGAGACAAATCCAAACAAAGTGAAAAAGCAGCAAGAATTCGTGAGATGTTGGAAGAAGAAGAAAGGGTGGGTGAAATGTGCAATTCTGTTTCTGACACTTTATACCACTCTTGTTCATGTGACCTCTGTCCTTGTGTATTTATTTCTGTAACTCTACACTTACACTTTTACTTCTATGTAGAGTAGTAATTGCCACAATGTAGCAGTGCTCCCAGTTTTGGTTGATACACATGTTGATTACATAGTCACACACTTATTAGTGTGAGGTATTTCTGAATTTTAGAAACTTAGCAAGGTTTGAAATTTTTGAGTAAAATGATCGTGACTTTGGTACCTAGCACCTACTTTGAGGGATTTGTTTGGGGTAGATGTACAAATAAAGAATTCTAATGAAATTTTTATTTCTTCTTGCTTCAGGCAAGGCAGTTTAAGGCACAACCATTGCCAAACTTGTCGTTGTGTCTTGGTGTGCCAGCTAAAAAAGCCAAGGAGACAACAACGGCTAAACCATTCCATCTTGCAGCTGATGAGAGGGGTGCTAAAAAGGCAGAGGAATGGACCCATAAGGTAATGTCATTTATGATGTTTTAGTTTCTACACCATAGTCCTAAAGCATCCATGCCTTGAAAATTGATTTATGAAATGCCACAATGCAAGTACAATATGGTCAATGCTACCCAAAAGTGGCATTTTACTTTTTCTGTTTCAGAAAGTGAAACAGTCAAAGAATAAACTGATTTGTTGAAGGCATATATATGTATGTGGTCGATTGAGTTGGTGTAACTTCAATTTCTATTTCACCAGGTTGAAGAAGACTTAAAAAATGAGCTTGCACTATCCAGTGCCTTCAAAGCACAGCCATCAAGTGTGTTATATCAAAAGCCTTTCATCCCAGAAAAAACCAACAAAGCACTCATAGGTAGGCATTGATTTATTCACAAATGAGCTATGGCAAACTGGCAACATTGCTTGTTTATCTCTAACACTGACATTGACTTTTAAAGTGTGTTTTTTTTTTTTGGTTGCTTAGCTACCGTATTTATAAGAAAGAGAGATGTTGATGGATACTGACAGCCTGACTAGATGGTGCCCTTTAGTGATGCATGTTGGCAAAACACTTTATTACATGTCACTGGCATATGAATTTGTTTCTCAAACTGAATTTATTATTAGTGTAACATAAATCACTAATCTATGTTTTTATTTTAGACTTGTTTTTTAACTCTGTTTTGAAATTTTTATTGGAACTGTCAACGTTTAATTGATTTCCAAGTATTACGCCCTCCCTGTTAGGTTTATAAGCTTTTAAATACATGCGTAATTTACATAGAAAGGGGAATATTTTGTGACCTTTTTAGGTGGAGAAATATTTTATACATACCCGGTATATTGCATGCACGAGCTGTTACACTCTTTGCAAGGAGAGCAGCCTGATTGGACGAAAATAAATATACCGGTTCACCACCACTACGAGACTTTGTAGTTACAACTTTTACTGTTGTGTGAACATTACTACAGGAACCATGAACTTGAAACTTGATTATGATACAATCACACATGAACACTCTGCTCTGGAATTTTTTTTTATCTTTCCTTCAATGATTTTTCACCCTTGTTTTTCATTTAGATATTGCTCCATTCGACCTCAACACAGAGAGGAGATCTTTTGACAGGAAGATGTTTGAAGATGCCAAAAAATCAAAAGAACGTGAAGCAATCGCAATAAAGCTGCGTCGCGAGAAGGAAAATGATGAGATGGAATTAGAAGCTGTAGCAAAATTAAGAGCTGAGATGGTACATAAACCAAATCCAATCAGACACTACAAAACTGTTGATATACATCCGAGTGATAAGCTCCCCACGGAAGCCATGTCTCCTCATTTAAAAACTGAACGTCGTTGCAGGGGTAATAAAGTGTGAATCGGGGTCTTTACATGTTAGTAGATGAGAAATCCACAATTTTAAGTCACTGCCAGTTAATGCAACGCACTTGTTTTTTATTCACTGTTTACAGAATTTAACAATTTTTCCTACTATATTAAAATTTATACTGTAACTTTATTTCTTGTATGTATGTTAGATTTTCTGTAGTATTACATGTTGTGTTAGGTTAGGTGACCCATTGTTATGTATGGTTAAGGACCAACGTTTTATCATATGTCATAATAATTTACATTAATTTAAATTCAGATATGTTTTAAAACTGAGAATTTTTATTTGATATAACCTTGACAGTGGGGAAAGTTTGTTGATTTGTATTTATCAAGTGCACTGCCTGAATTGACTTGGTCTGTGAGGTGGCCATTAACTGCCAGAGCGTTGTTTAGTGTCTTTTGTCTGGTTTTAGTAGTACTATTTTACGTCTACCCTAAAACAAATTTTCTACTTAATAATATATCGGTATGGTTGTATCTATGAACATCCACTTTGATACATTCACAATTGTACAGGAATGTAGGAAGTGACACCGTAAACTTTTTTTCCCCCTCAATGTCCAATTTTATCCTCGTCGTGTTTTAAGAGAAACTTTTGCTAAATCATTGAATTTTAATAATGTAGAAGGGGCATTATTTACTGTGTTTAATTTCAGCATATTTGCTGTTGCTGTGATATTCACTGGGTTTTAAATTCTCTGGTTTATGAAGGAAATAATTCATTCTGTTAAATTTGCATATTCACTGGGTTTTAATTTAGCACATTTAGCTATCTGTGAAATAAAATAAAAATAAAACCCAGTGAATGATTAAGTCCTATACAGAAATCTATATTTGAGTTTCCTAGTTTACGGTACTTGGCATAAAATCTTTGGATTTTAAACACAATTTGCTATTTTTTGAATGAATTAATAAACCTTTTTTAATAAAATGTCTGCTTGTTCAGTTGTATGAATATAAGTGTAGTTGTACTGCATGTGCTTCTAATCAGGAAAATTATGAATGGGAATTTAAATGTTGGATAGCTAAACAAGCAGCCTATCTGCTGAGATGGCTTCATTGTTAGCAATGCACATTCCAATTAAAGAACTGAAAACATCATTAGAAAATGAACAATATGTATAGTATCAAAGCAATCAGACTTGCTGTTTTCATCAAGAATTTAAAAATATCACTTTTCACCAAAAATGACAAAAATATTCACCAAAATTAGAGAATTGAAGATATCGTCACGAAATGAACAAATCTGAGAAAGGTCTACATGCAGTACCTATATATGTAATATCAAAGCATTCAGGCTTGTAGTTCTCGAGAAGTCGACGACTGACAATCACTCGTATGATAAGCTCCGGTCGACAGCGGAGCTAAAAAAAATACACCCAAAAATCTGGAACATGTATTGTATTTTTGGGGGATTTAATTCAAATTTTCCAACTGGTGACAAGAAATTAACCTCTGTGGATTTGATTCTTGCACGGAAACAGTCTGACACTCAAACTCTTCTATTCTGCTTAAAAATCAAGTAATTGTACTAAAAACTAACCACAGAAATAACACTAAATGTAGTTGCAGTAAATGCCGCTCTACTCCAGTCTCTGTATGTTATAAACTTTGTTTTATAAGCATTCTTTATTTGGGTGGCTGGGTGGAAGACTCCTGGGTGTGGAGCTATTCATTTTTTTGCTATATGTTGTGTTAGTTAAAGTCGCAAACTCAGTACATGTTATTACCCTGCCAAGCATTCATCATTTCTTGTTCTCGAAAGAGATCAGGAAAACCAAACAGAAAACTAAATAGGGCAGCGTCCCCTTTGATTATTAGCTGTTGGGCGAAACATACTATCAGTTATGC